AATGAGCGTTCTGATATCGGTGTACCATGTACCCTATGTTTCTGCAGTTTTGGTGCAAGAAAGAGGTACTAACAAATGAACTACATTTCTCTGGTCTAGATAACAAGGATTGGAGTGGATTCTTGAAGAAACTAATTGCCAAGGCACCACTTCATTTTAGGCTGCCGCAGAAGTCAGGAAAGTCCAATATCTGGATTCTGGGAACCTGTGCTGCCTCTCGCCTCTCCTGCTCTGTGTTGTACCCCCATGTGCCTGCAAGGACGTGGAGTAACACGTGTTGCATGGACAGAGTTGGGGAACGCAAGGGCCAACAGGATGATGCCTGACTGACAGACTGGCAGACTAACTGAATGATTGTGTGAGCGACGGCATAGCTGTTGCAGAGAAGTTAATCACGTACCAGTATATGAGCAAACAGTGTGGCAGTGATAGCACATAGCATGGAGACAAGTTTACCTAGGTAGAGATGCCACCCGTCCAATTGCGGTGTGCTGATGACATTGCGCAGCGTGGCTAGTCGATCCTCCACAAAGCTGTCGTGGAAACAGCACAACACGGGGTGAGGTGAGCATGAGAGTTGTGAGGAGGCACGCACTCCCCTTCTAAAAGTTGCCGGGACAAAAAGGCGGGAACCTTCGTAGACACAGCCAGATTTGAGGAGAAGCAATGGGTGGAATTATGAAATCATGTACGGAAAAGGGGGACCCACTGAAAGGAGCAGCCTTGGTGTTGAGGGAGCGACTGCAGGTGCTGCAATGTCTGCACTTTGGGACTAGGTCAGGCAAGGGTGTGAGGCAGGGGCGGGAAGTATAGGATCCATAAGTGTGCAGAAATGGGATAGGATGGTTGAAGGTATTTTCCCAGCCCAGACGAGTGTGGGAAAAAGGCAAATGGCATGGTGCAAGCATGTGGGAAGGATGTGTATGCATGGGAAACCACGACATGCATAAGGCTGTCACAGGGGCCCAACAAATAGACCTTTTCATGCACGTCTGCCAGCCCATAAAGAGTGCAAGAGTGCACTGCCCAAGAGGAGCTGACTTTTGAGTCGACTCAAAAGAGTGCAAGGGTGCACTGCCCAATAGGAGCTGACTTTTGAGTCGACTCAAAAGCGAGTGCAAGAGTGCACTGCCCAATAGGACCCTCTCACGCACGTTGCCCCTCGTGCTTTACCAGGACCCATCCCTGTCAGTCCCTGCCAATACAACTCACCCGGTACCAAGCCCGAAGACCTTGTCTTCTGGGAAATCAACGCCCGCCAATTCGCGCAGCAGCGCAAGGGCAAAGCGGGTCTGGGCGCACAGGGGGGGGCGCACAGGGAGGGGCGCACAGGGAGGGGCGCACAGGGAGGGCAAGGAGCCCCAGAATAGTCGGCTTCTGAAATCCCTAAAAAATCAACCGGTCCTGGAGTAGGGATGCGTGTTGAAAAGGAATGCGCTGAATTTACTCTGAAAGAGGTTGCTCACCAGGCAAGCAAACTGGTGGTGGAGGCACACAGAAGCAGAAACGCATGCAGCAAAGTAGTGTAGATTGGGTGGGGGAAGTATTGTCGCAGGTGTGAGTAGCGGTGGGAGGTATTGTGAGCACAAACAATAAAGACACACACAGAGACACACACAGAGACACACACTGAGACACACACAGAGACACACACAGAGACACACACAGAGACACACACAGAGACACACCTGTTTTGTCGTAACTATGTACAATGGAGACTCTGCCTTCTGAAGCGCCTCCGGCACGCCGGCATACATGGCATTGGCGGCAATCCACCCAGGCAGGTCGTCGCACATCCACTCGTCCCTCACCGCCCCAAACAGCTCCACCAGCTCCTCCCTCCGCCCCTCCTCGCCCCAATCCGCCATCACTGCCGGCTTGATCCCCCCCTCCCACCCGCTCAGTATGGCCTCTAGGTTGAGCTTGCCTGACTTGGACAGCTGATGGGAGGGAGTTCAGTTCAGGCAGTGATTGGATTGTGGGGAGTGGGGGGAGTGATGTGGGGCATGCTAGGGGGAAATGTGTGAACGATACTGGGTAAAGATGATGTGCATGTGCATGTGTGTGTGCATGTGCATGTGCATGTGTGTGTGCATGTGCATGTGCGTGTGCATGTGCATGTATGTGTGTATGTGCATGTATGTGTGCATGTGCATGTATGTGTGCATGTGCATGTATGTGTGCATGTGCATGTATGTGTGCATGTGCATGTATGTGTGCAGGTGCATGTACATTTTCATATACACGTGAATGTGCTCATCACTTCTCCTGGATTCCTCACAACCACCACAGTCTTCCCTTTGCCCTTTCACTGAGATTGCCTTTCACTGAGATTGCCTTTCACTGAGATTGCCTTTCACTGAGATTGCCTTTCACTGAGATTGCCTTTCACTGAGATTGCCTTTCACTGAGATTGCCTTTCACTGAGATTGCCTTTCACTGAGATTGCCTTTCACTGAGATTGCCTTTCACTGAGATTGCCTTTCACTGAGATTGCCTTTCACTGAGATTGCCTTTCACTGAGATTGCCTTTCACTGAGATTGCCTTTCACTGAGATTGCCTTTCACTGAGATTGCCTTTCACTGAGATTGCCTTTCACTGAGATTGCCTTTCACTGAGATTGCCTTTCACTGAGATTGCCTTTCACTGAGATTGCCTTTCACTGAGATTGCCTTTCACTGAGATTGCCTTTCACTGAGATTGCCTTTCAACATGTCTTCACGCCCAGAAACGCCATTCGTCCTTCCCTCACGAGTCCTCCTCTTGTTTTTTTCACCTGAAGCTACCTGTCTGTGCCTTTCACCTGGGACTGCCGTTTGTCTTCGCATGCCATCTCCAGCAGCAGGCGCACCAGCAGAATGTTCTCATAACCGGTCTCCACCACTGGCCGCACCTGCAGTCCGATGGAAGCACACACTTTGGCATTATGTCAGTCTCATATGCTCACGCTTACATTCTCATCTGCTCTCGCACTCACATGCTTTTCAAACAATAAGCAGCAGCACCAGCAGTGCCCCTGCATTGGCTGCACCACACAATGAGATGACAACGCAAGTCCGGCACGCCTTGTGCCTCACGCCTTGTGCCTCACGCCTTGTGCCTCACGCCTTGTTCCTCACGCCTTGTGCCTCACGCCTTGTGCCTCACGCCTTGTGCCTCACGCCTTGTGCCTCACGCCTTGTGCCTCACGCCTTGTTCCTCACGCCTTGTGCCTCACGCCTTGTGCCTCACGCCTTGTGCCTCACGCCTTGTGCCTCACGCCTTGTGCCTCACGCCTTGTGCCTCACGCCTTGTTCCTCACGCCTTGTGCCTTTTGAAAGACGAGAACCTTTGGAAACAGCACGCCATCTCGTGACAGAAGGTTCCTCTAGGTTTCTCCCTCCACCAATCGCCCGAGCCAAGTTTCCTGGCCAATCACAAGCCAGTCCTTCAGCCAGCATCAGGACCGCTGGCTCCTTATTTCTCCACGGCTTTCCTTCTCACCTCAACTCACCTCACCTCACCTCACCTCACCTCGCCTCGCCTCACCTCTCTCATCTGCTTCAGGATCGTCTCCTCCACTTCAGCAGACACGTCAGCAAAGAGCGACGGCCACCGCACCTTGGCAGCCTGTGGTGAGCACATGGGGTGTGGGCAAGGACGAAAGGATGGGGGTCGGGGGTGGGGGTAGAGGGAGGGGAGAAGTTGCAGAGATCGGGAAAAAAAGTTGTGGAGAATGGTAACAGGGCTATTATAGTCACGTCACATACTGGTCACTCGTACGCTCGTTACGGTCACCTCATACACCGTTACTCACTCCTCTGCTCGTTGCAGTCACCACCTCTCTAAGGTCACTCGCCTCTGACCTTACCATCTCCTCGCATCTCCTCAGGAGAAACCCTTGGGTGACCTTGGGGAAACCCTCAATTTCCAAGCGATTTTGGCCTTCACAATTTACCAGAGGCTCAAGTCCATTTGATCACCAATTCTCCTCGCTTCGCCTCACCACTATCGCCGATAATCTTTGCTTCCATTGGGATCTCCGCGCCTCACCTTCACGGCCGACAGCGAGCTCTCCCCGCAGCTGTCGCACAGAACGCCGTCGAAATCCAGAGCGTACACGTGGCGATCCATGGTTGGGTCGCTGGTCCGCAACGCGCAGAGAGCTATCTCGCGGCGAGAGCGACAGCAACGAGCGGAAGAAACGGCGATAGTTGAGGGACGCAGGCGAATAGAGGAAGCGGCGTGGAAAGCGGCAAGCCGCGACCTCGATACGCACTGTTGCGGAGCTGCTGATTGGCCACCAGACAAACGGGTAGTTGCAGCAGGCGGTGAAATCGCCTTTCCGGCGCAAAGTGCGCTGCTGGTCGCGGGCATGATCGCAGCGCAGGTGAGAAGTTTGGGCGGCGAGGCAAGTGAAGAACGCTGTCAAAAGTGAACAAGGGCCTTGAGAATGCCACTTGTGCCTCGGGTTCGCCGCAAGCTCCGATCAGAATGTCATGTTCTGTCACCCCTGTGTACCTTACGTGTAACGTCGTCCGAACGAATGCGATCTCAAATGCACGACAATTCACGGCGACCAGTCTGAATCGAATCAAGGGCTTCGCCTTGTTCGCCGAATTTGCTACAATATATGAGTCTAGTGTAGCATTGCAACGAGGAAATTTGCACTACAGGCGTTTAGCAATGACATGGTTGAGTTCCAAACCTTCAAGGAACGGGTTCTCAATTTTACAGATTGGACATCCCTGGGGTTCACCCATTTTCAGCCGTCAGATTGCTTCGGCCAGCCCCTTGAGGTTTTCGGAAACCTTGAAATCCGCTCCTTGTCCAACGAGGCTTTGGAGTATCGGTTTTCGGTTTAGGCTTCTTGCGGCTACATATACGGTTCGTCCTCACACCGAAGAACTCCTGTAAGCTGCATGCGAGGACAATTGAGTTGCATCCAGCTGCTGGGTCTCGACCCTGAAGTCCTATAGCTGGCGACACGCTTCCGTGGGTGAAGGCGTCGTGAGAAGGC